TTAGGGCATTTCTTTTATTTGTATGTAAATGTCATTGTTGTATAATGAGAGGGAATATGTATATTTAATTATTCATCATTTCATCAAAGGATGAATTGTCATTTGTAAATGGACTTAATTAATGAATATTGGCAATATTATCCGAGTAATAAAATACGGGGCATAACAACTTGGTATCAGAGCTACCGAGATTGAATATCTTGGCTCGTGGGAAGTGGTTTTGACCATAGTTGGGTTTACCTCATGATTGTGAGTGACATTTGCATTCTGTGTGATAACATACTTATGTGCTAAAATATTATATGTCTATGTAGGCATGGGGTTGAGTCTCGAGGATGTTGTGTTGGGTCTAGAAATTTTCTTGGAAATCTTATTAGAAATGCACTTGAGCAACGTGATTTCTAATACGAGGTCTAAAAGGATTTCTAGAATGACTAACCATCTTCGTAGGAACAACCCGTTCTTTGTTATGTGGTTATGTGATTTTATGCTACTTGATGTGCATATGTTGAGTTTTGTGTTGGAACATGAGAATGCACCTAAGTGAGAGGTGTTGATTCTAAATGTTATGAATGGTATATGTATGGCCTTGCATGATTGTGAAATTGTTCTATTTACTTGGGTATGTGTGGAGTTGTTCCTGAAGCTTGGGATGTATACCCTTGTGTGTATTTGGGAAGAGGCGTGGCCTTGGCATGATAAAGATTATAAATGGTGGTAAGGGGTGTATTTCCCAAAAGAGATTGACTGTTTTGAGATTTGGTTGTAAAATCTATAAAGTGCACACTATGTAAGGTTTAAAGATGCGATTTGAAACGGACAATATTCATAACTGTTGTTATCCTTATTTATTTATTTGTTTTGTCCCTAGGTGTCAAAGGGGAGTGTCCAACACTTGTTGGTAAGAGAATTTTCTTAAAGGGAATGAGTTGTGTTTTGAGCCATGGTTGTATTTTCCTTTGGGGACATCTTGTGTCTAGTTGGTTAGTCTAGTGATTTCCAAATAGTGTCTTGGAATGACTCTACGAGTATGATAATTTGGCGGTGTAATCTAGATTTTAGATTGTTTTAGCCATGTGTAATTTGGGTTGCTTCGAGAACTAGACTCTCTTTTCCTTGAAATTGGGTGAGTTGGAATGAATTATGAGTTTGTTTGCAAAACCTTAGACGGTGCTTTCTTATGCTTAATGTGTGATAAGTCCCAGAAGAGAAGTAGGATCTCTTGTTGGTTAGCTAGGGGAATGGCACTATTGTTTTAAGTATCCCGTGAGTTGTGTTAGTCAAATCATGGTTGCATTTAGGGTGGACCTTGTGAGTCACCAGAATTTGTGTTGTAACTTGGAGTAAATATTTTAGAAGTTGAGTTGAATTAGCTTTTAACTTAAGGGCCATGTACAGTTCGGGTGTTTACTAGTTGTGTTGAGTCTTGCTTAGACTTAAGGTATATTGTTGAGATCATTTTGTAAACAGCACATTGGAGTGGAACCGTTAATGTTGATTTGTAGTCTTTGCTAATGGAAATCCAAGCTCATTGTTCGAATTGATTTTATTTCGTTTGCGTTATGGGGTGTGGCATCACCCTAGTGTTGGTTAAGTGTTGTTAGTCTTGTGACGGTTGGCGGTCACTTTTTGAGTTGGTGGTTAGTGCTTTTGAAGATGTATTGTTTCGTTTTGTTAAGGTTTCAGAGTAGTAATAGTTGTTTTGGCCTTGGGGTGCATTGTGCATTAGGCGATGGAAATAGTTAGTTGAAGTTGGGTTATCACCAATCAGATATGGTATCTTGGTATTTTGAGGAGTCGTTTTGCCAAAATTTTGTTATGCTTAAGGGATTAGATCATATTTTGTTGCTTCGGGTTATCGATGTGGATAGAAAAATCTCTTAATGATTTATACTAGTAAGGGTTTTTATAATCAATTGTTGTGCGATAGTATTGGTTTGGTTCGTTACCGGTGTGACTTGTTGAGGCTTATGTAGTAGTTAAAGAATTTTTGTTGATGCATTGGTAAATACCTGAGTGAGTTTGTGAGTGACAGTAGGATGCATTACATTACTTGTTTAAATTTTGAGGACAAAATTTCTTGAAAGAGGGTAGGTTGTGATGACCTAGATTTTTTTTTTTTTAAATAGGTAGTGCATAATTTAATTGAGCAAATTTTCAGATTAGACTGCTGTGTAAATTCTGTGCGAAAACAGTTCGGTTTTGTATTTTTTAAAATAGTTCTCGATCTTAGAAAATTATGACATTTTTATGTGTTGTTCACATACAAATCTAGCATGTTGGGTAAAAATTTCAGAATTTATTGATGAGTATTTATTTTATGAAAATTCACAGACTGATTGGTGTTCAGTTTAATTTATAGAAGAATTTTGTTATTTAATTTTGAATGTTTAGATCATGATTTGGATAAATTTGTTGGGTCTATTTTGATATATAATTGGACATGTTTGGCTTATGGGTGGGACCCATGACTTAGATTTAATTTAATTGGAGTTTGTTTAGTGACTCATGTTTAACTGTTTGGTCCTTTTTAATTATGTGATTGGTAGTAACCACCTTGAGAGTTGTTATTATTTATTATACAAGAGTTATAATAAATATTTAATAGTCGATTTTATGGTGTGTACCATATGGTGAAAAAATTATATATTTTATAAAGAACGAAAATGTATATATTTCGTAGTGAACAAAATATTGTATTTTGTGGTATACAAAAATATTATATTTTGTGGTGAAAAGAATTATATCATTTTATAATTTATATTATAAAATTTTGAGGTATTATTACAAAAATTATATTTTTGGAGAAACTAAACTTTGGGAAGCAAACCCACGTGGGTTGCCTCCCCACTTTTTTCCTTCCATCTTTTCATTTCCTTTCTTTATGCATTTGATTTGGGTGGGTGGAGCAGAGAGCTCCTCTGCTCTCTCTCTCTCTCTCTCTCTCTCTCTTGGTGTCTCTCTCTGTTTTTTTTTACCTCCATTGTTGGCTTAAACTTTAAGCTTAGAGTGGGAGTCTTTAGAGTGAAATTTTACAAATGTGTTGTCAATGAAAGTCGGAGAGCTCGTCGTGATCTTCGCAATGGTAGTCTCGGATTAATGATCGGGCAAGATTTTCCTTCAAAATTTGCTCTTCTTTATTATTTGAGGTAGGGACTTTCTTCATATTTTTACATAAAAACCATGTTAGGGTTATTTTGAGAAAATATGTCATTTTAACAGGTATTGCATACATGTGTGTATATATATATATATATATATAATTTTCAGATTTTTGTTTGGTAATTTTTGGAAGAAAAATTATGTTGAAATATAAAGAATGTTGGCAATTTGAGATTGATTTTGGAAAAATCATTTTGTGTTGTTAATTTTTTTTTAAAAAAAATCTGAAAATAAAATTTAAAGGTTGTACGATTGTATTTACATCATATTATGATTAGATGATTTATTTTGAGAAATGTAAAGTTGAATTATTTTTTTTTATCTTTGATTTGGGAATTTATTTTTGGTAAAAATAAATTGATATTGAGGAATATTATGTAAATTGTTAAGTTGGGATTATAGAGTTGTTTTAGAATTAAAAGCTTTAAAAATGTTATATTCATAATATTTTATGAAAGGTGATATGTTGATGATAAAGTTGTATTTATTTTTGTGAAAATAAAAAAAATGTGAAATGTGGACTTTTGAACTCACTACCTTGAAAATGTCACTCTTGAGCATATTTCATAATTTTTGATATAAAGATCATGTAATTAATTAATTTTAGAAAAGTTGTGAAAATTGTTATTGGTAGAGAATTTTGGAAAAATATTACCTCTTTAAGTAGCTTGGTACAAAAAAATGGTTATGTTGAAGTATGGTTATGTTTGAGGGATGAGGCATGTGAAGTTAGGTTTGGTATTGTAAATTTGAAATTTTTTGAATATAATAAACTTACTAATTTAGTGGATTAAATTAGTTTTGGTTAAAAGGTTATATCCGTTATGGTTAAAAGTGTGCTATTGAGATTATACTATAATTTTTGATATAGTATGATGGAAATAGTAATATTTAATAAGTATGGGATTTGTTGAAAATCTTATTGATTATCTTGGTTGAGGTGAAACAAAAATTGATTGAAGGTTTTGTGTGAGTCAAAACAATTGGGAAATTAATAAATAGTTTTTAATATTTGGTGTATGCTAATAGGTTATAGATTTGTCTTGAAATGACTAAGTTGGAAGTTTGTTGATTTACATGTGGTAAATACATGAACATTGACATTATTATATTATCTCTTGGGATTGTATCATGGTATTACATTGATAGAGATATAGAATTTGCTCACAATGGAGCATTGTGTGGTGGAATTGAAATTGGAACTATTCTAATGCATTGTTACATATTGCATTGCCATTTTATTTCATTGTTATCATGGATTTCGAATTCAATTGAAAACTATTGTTTTGAGAAAGGAATTATTTTTGGTGAAACAAGATCATTTTGAATTGTTTTGGGTAAATACGTTGGTAAGTCCGGCTAGGGGGTGTAGTTTGATATTGGTTAAGTTGGCCTGAGTGTCCATGGTGAAAGACCAGAAACCACACGGATAGGTGTCGAGCCTTCCAGTTAATACTGGTAAAAATGATAGATTATAGGTGTCGAACCTTCCAGTTAATATAGGTAAAAATGACAAATTAGTAGTACTTGTATAGTCTACTTGCAGATACCAGCCTAGGAATTACTTGAGTCGTATTTACCATCTTGGAATTTTATTGAAATTGTTGGATTAATGTGTTTTCAAATTGGCATTATGCATAAGATTTTCAAAAGGTGAGAAAAATATTTTGAGCATGACATGGCATATGCATTCATCTCAAGAAACTGTATAAAATGTATACTTTGTTAAGATCTTCCTACTGGGCATTGTGCTCACCCTAATGGATTTTGTGCAAGAAAAGTTGTAGTGATTCCGCCGAGTTAAAGGCATAGAGTGTATTTTGAGGGTACAAGGCTCTTTTTCTTTTGTTGTTGTTTTTGACAAGCCGAGGGCTTTACATGTATGGGTTTCAATAACCATTTTGTGTAACCGGGCATAAGCCTTCAAACTTGTAGCCCTTGAGGGCATTAAATTGTATTCGACATGATGTGCCACATGCCATAGATTCATATTTTAGAAAATGTTGAATATATAATTATATGTGGAATACTTTTGTTAATCTCTAGAGTATAATAAATATAAATGTTAGAGATTTGATAATGATGTTAATGATGAGGCATTATATCTCATATACATTTACGCAATGGAAGTTATTAAGTTGGGAACATGATCATGTTGTGGAATATGTTGAGTTTTTTTATGTTAATTATTTTGGGACGTTACAAGTTTGTATCAAAGCTACAGGGTTTGAATACAGTGGCCTCCCAGGTGTGTACAACACAAATATGTGGTTTGGGGCAAGAAAAAGTGGCTTTAGGGTGGTCAACATTGGCTTTCAAGTGGGAAAAAACGGGCGACGGAGGGCGATAGAGGAATAAAACATGGTCGTCAGAACAATTACTGGCCTCCCACCCTTCTACGACCTCCTTAACAATGAAAATAAGGTCTCCACCAAAAATGAGCCCAAACTGATGCAAAATGAAGGTTCGGGGGCCGAAACGCGCAGCCCGAGACCTCGAAAACTGACTGTTGGGCACCGGAAGTGGTGTTCGACCACGAAGTTGGTCTCTCGAGGCACAGTGTTCCTCAAAAGGGAGCAAATAAGATGCATGCCAAAAACCGGAGCAAACGGAGGTGGTTAAGCGGTCCCGAACCGAGGCACACGGCCAACGGCTCCGGAAAAAAAACCAGAAACTGGACTCCAAACGGGCAAAATGGCCTACGACCACGAAACGTAGCTTACGGCCACTGAGAGATGATCTATGAGACCTCTCCCTCCCTTGAGGAAGAGAAAACAGAGAAAACAGAGCTTGGTTCGCAAACCGAGGCAAAGCATGAAAGAGTCCAGAAGTCCAGAGGCAAGGCTCACAGCTGAGACTTTGAAACCTCTGAACGAGCACGATATGCAACATCACCAAGCGCTCAATTGGTGACGTATGAGTCTTAAGGTCGGTCACAGTGTTCCTCAAAAGGGAGCAAATAAGATGCATGCCAAAAACCGGAGCAAACAGAGGTGGTTAAGCGGTCCCGAATCGGTGACGTCTGAGTCTTAAGGTCGGTCAAAAATGGGGTGTCTACACAATGGTAAACACATTAGCTACTAAACAATATTTAGTCGCCAAAGGTACATGCATTAGCTACTAAAACTTTTTGGTCGGTAAAGTCTACTATTTTTCTACTAAAAATGCATTTAGTCGGTATTGTCTTTACTTTTGGTGACTAATTACGTGTTAGTCACTAAAAATATCATTTTGGGCGACTAAAAATGATGTTGGTCGCTAATTGCACAGTGTTTAGATATTATTAATTCATTTTTGGCTACTAAAGTGTTTTAGTCGTGTAAAATAAGGTTTTGGGATACTATTTTTATTTGGGCAAATTACAAACACCCCCTTCGAGATTTGGTGAAAATACAGATTCCCCCCTGAGGTTTGAGAAATTATATCCCGCCCCCTGAGGTTTATATTTCTATAACAAATTGTCCCCTGAGGTTTTTATTTTCATACAGATTCCACCCTAATTTGTTATGCAAATTTAACCTTCAGGGGGCAATTTGTAATTTCTCAAACCTCAAGGGGGAATCTGTATTTTCACCAAACCTCGAGGGGGGTGTTTGTAATTTGCCCTTTTTATTTTGGTTGCTAAAAAGGAAATATTTACCGACTATAATTCAGTAGCCAAATGTGAAAAAAAATTCAGGAGGAAATATTAAAAACATTAGCAACCAAATTTGAATTTTGGTCGAGAATAAACTAGTAAAAAGTTTTATTTTTTTGTAATAGAAGTCCATTTCCGTCACTCTCTCACTCCCTACTCTGTCTCCATCGCCATCACCACAAGGCTTGCTGGATCATCACTTTGTCTCCCTCTCGGGTATGTCCTCTATTTCGCCTCTATCTCTCTGTATCTCCCTCTCGATTTCTGTCTCCTCCTCACAGAGGCCTCTCGGTTTCCCTCTTTCTCTCTTTCGCTGTTTACACACACACACACACACACACATACATGCATATATATATATACACATATATACACACACAAATCATATATACACAACCTTGATCCCATATATAATCGATTATACACTGGTACACCCACGCCTCTATAACTGCGTCTCACTCACGCTGCCCTCTTCTCTATAGCTTTGTCTCCATCGCCATAACTGCAAGGGTTGCTGGATCAGCGCTTTGTCTCCCTCCCATGTATGTTCTCTATTTCGCATCTGTCTCTCCCTCTCTCTGTATCTCCCTCTCGATTTCTCTGTCTCCTTCTCACTGTCTCCCTCTCTCTTTCTCTGTCTCTGTTTACACACACACACACACACACACATACATACATACATATATATATATACACACACACATAAATCATATAGGAAATGCGGAAAATTAGGGCATTGTTATTGAAATGTGATTGAAATTAAAAATTAGGGCAATGCTTGGGCCAAGATGTTATTGAAATTAGAGCTGAACTAATAGTAATTTCTTGCCTGTCTAGACTATGCTCAGAAATCCAAAGAGCCCTCCAATTCGGATTGAGAATGATGTATAATGGATTTTTATTGTAGGACTTGCCATATCTATTTGAGTGTCAATCCTTAAAATTTGAGGTTGCCAACAACTATAATGCTCTGCCATTTAAAGCCTCAAGTTTCATAATTTGTTAAATTCATTGAATTTTTCTATTTTTATTATGCATGCATACATAATGTCAGTTTCATTTTTTCATTTATTGAAATTCCATTTTATAACACATTACTAATGTTAGCAAACAGTTCATCGACATATAATTCCTCTCTCTCGGAAAACATGTATGTGGATATACCTAGCTGCTCGATCCATAATCTAAACCTTTTCTTATAGAAATCTAAAACATAAAAAAATTCTCTAGATTGGAGTGCTATATGACTTATATTACAGAAGCATGATGGGCATGGCAGTTGACCCATGCGATGGGCTTAGTTCGATGAAAGGTCCAACGAAAAAGTTTAAGATTATTGCGGGCTAATAATGATATTTTACACTGGTGCAAGTTGCTCTTTCTCTCTCTCTCTCTCTCTCTCTCTCCCTCTCCCTCTTCCAACTGCTAGTTATACAACTTTTTCACGATGTTGGTGCCTTTTCTATTGGAACTTAGAGGAGATTAGGATACATCGAATTTCATGTTCAGATTTAAGTTGGCAATATGTCTAAGGAGAATTTTTTTGACTTTGGTGGATGAATGTAGGCAGCAGCCCCTTCCATTGCTTACATATGGATAGGCATTTTATGGGTTTCTAATCCATACTTGTTTTGCTATTTCTCTTACTTTTATGTGAATTTTGTGTCCATTTCTTGATGGGTTTTGCATTTTCTGCCATTTTAATGAGAATTTGAGTTTAAATTCCCTTCATTTTCTGTGGAGATGTTAATTTGTTTTTCATATATTAATTGAAGTGTGGTAACTGATGGGTTTGCTTGTAACTGATGTGGATGTGGATATAGATGTGGCTAGGGTTGTGGTGGAGGAGATTGAGTATATATATATATTGCATTTTTAGCTTATGTATTTGGATGTTGTTTCTGATTCAATTTTAGCTAAATGGGTGAAATCTTGTGTTGATTATGATGTGGCTCAATCTTATAGTCCATTGGCCTATGTTGATCATAAAGCATTATTGAATATTCTAGTATAATGTGAGTATATTTATTAAATTAGTTAAGGAAATGCTATTTCATTTTTGGTAGGAAACATTTTCTTGTACAAACCAGCTTGGCAGTTCCAATTCCAGCAGCAACAATTCCATCAGCAACTGCAGAGCACTTTTCACAACTGTAGGTAACTTTTCCCTCTTTCTCTCTCTATCTCTCCCTCTCTGTGGAAATTGTTTGCAATCTCTCATTTACTCAGATTTTATTCTTTGAGTAGCAATGAAAGGACATCAATGAACTTCTTGCAACATAACTATGACTAGACTGTATTCAACATAAGTCGGATAGGAACCTTTGTTGATTTGATCATCTCCATCATAGAACAAGTAGCAATAAGTTGTCAGTATATTAAGTTCTCAGTAGATGGTAATTATTTTTGAGAGTATTACTTCTTAGTTTGATTCTGAATGTTGAATTAAATATAAACTATAAGGACCATAAGCTATTGAAAAGACGGATAATAACATTCAATTTTATACGTATTTGGACAAAACATTTGCTACTTTAAGTTTTGGATTACTTTCTTTTTTTTTGTTTCACTTGGTTGAGAAAAGACCATACTTTGAACATTTTGCTTGTTTGAAATTTGAAACCATGTCTATGTTGTTACCTTGTGTTTAACAAATTAAATTGAGCTTCCATGCGACAATTTCTTTCCTACTTATTGACAAGAAACACGTCTGTTTATCTGGTCAGCTTTAAATAAGCATGACATGAACATAACGAGCATGTCATGGTGTTATATATGCTGATACACACACTTATCGTTTATTATGTATTAAAGGATGTATATGTATATATGTAAAGCACGGACTGAATTATATTTGTTTCTTTATTCATTCAACAGTTTTGCTGGAATACTTATATATGTAATGATTGTGAATGCTCAAATTAATTTAGATGTTTATATGCTTAATGTATTCTAATTATATGACATGATCATCAAAACCCCGACATTGGCTATATAGACAATTTTGGAGTTAGAGGCTTACATGCCTATTGTATTCTAATGATATGACAAAATTATCAAACTCCCAACATTGGCAACAGACAATTTTATTTTTTTTATTTTTTTTTCTTTTTTCTTTTTTCTGAGTGTTGGCCATGGATATGTGCTCTACTAGTTATGCTATCTAGTGGTCCAAAATTATGGGTCAGTTCTAAAATTAACCTCCATAATTATGCATTGTTTTAGAACAATTCGTTTCATTTGGTCCCACCCTAAAACAGATTTATGTGACAAGCCAAATAGTGAATGAAAAAACAAGATAATCTATCTCAACTTGAAACGCGTGTTCATATTTGTTCCTCGGTTAATCTTTGCTTGAGTTTTAGGTGACAAAAAATGGACAAGAGTTGGATGAAGATAAATAATAGGTTGACAAGTAAAGAGTATCAACAAGGGGTGAAGGCATTCCTTGATTTTGCTACTGCAAATTTAGGCGTAGAGGATAAAATTAGGTGTCCATGTGTCGATTGCATTAATGGCACAAAATATAGCAGACAAGTTGTGTGGATGCACTTGATCTGAAGAGGAATGGCATCTTCGTATATAACTTGGGTGCACCACGTTCCCGTGTCTCATCCTAGTGTATCAAATGACCAATGTCGAGGTAGTGGTGAATGCATGACAGATATCGATGATTCGCTCATGGGTGAATTGCCTATTATGTTGGAAGAAATTTACGTGAGTGGTTTTATGGATGATCTTACCGACGAGGAACCTAATGGTTTGGAGAGGGAGGATTTGCATAAGTTCATTAGGTTATTCGAAGATGCACAACGCAAAGTTTACCCAACATGTGAAAAGTTCTCTGTGCTATCATTCGTCATTAAGATGCTTCATGTGAAGGTGTACAACAAATGGAGCAACAAGTCATTCGATATGGTTATGCAGGTATTCAAGGACATTCTACCAGAATGTGATCAAACTGTTCCATGGACACTCTATGATGCTAAGAAGTTCTTACGTGACTTGGGTTTGGGATATTAAACAATTCATTCGTGCAAGAATGATTGTGCACTATTTGGGAAGGAGAGTGCAAATTTGGAGAATGCCCTACATGTGACGCGTGTAGATACAAGTTGAACGATGATGGTGGTAAAAAGATTCCATACAAGGTATTGCGGTACTTTCCTTTGACACCGAGGTTGAAAAGACTGTGTATGTCCAAAAAAAACAGTCGTAGATATGAGATGGCACAATGAAGCGTGTGGATGATGACATATTAAGGCATCCGGTCGATGGTGAAGCATGGAAGGACTTTGATAAGCAACATCTGATGTTTTCTGATGACTCTCGAAATGTAAGGCTGGGGCTGGCAACAGATGGTTTCAATCCATTTGGAAATATGAGCACATCATATAGCACGTGGCCCGTAATCATAATGGCTTACAATCTCCCACCATGGAAGTGTATGAAAGAGCCATTTTGCATGATGTCATTGCTTATTCCCGGGCGTTCGGCACCTGGAAGAGACATTGATGTTTACTTGCAACCATTAATAGAGGAATTGAAGAATTTGTGGGGGCATGGTGTGCAAACATATGATGCATCGAATGGGAAAATTTTTAGAATGCATGCGGCGGTAATGTGGACCATAATGACTTCCCTGCGTATGATAACATGTCAGGGTGGAGTACAAAGGGTTACTTGGCTTGCCCTAATTGTAACAATAATGCATCATCCCAGGGTTTACGAAGTAAAATAGGGTATATGGGTGCTCGTCGTTACTTGCCAAAGAACTACACTTGGCAAACAAGTAAGCTCTTCAACGGTCAAACGGAGCATAGGTCCAAACCTTTGGACTTATCGGGGGAACAAATACTAGAACAAATTGATTCTGGGACTTACAAGCCGTATGGAAAGCACCCACAAAATCTAAAACGACGAATGAATGAAAATCAAAATTTGAATTGGAGCAAGAGAAGCATTATGTTTGACTTGCCCTATTGGAAAATGTTAAAGCTTCGACATAACCTTGATGTCATGCATATTGAAAAGAATATATGTGACAATGTCGTTGGAACACTTTTGAGCGTAGATGGAAAGAACAAGGACACAGACAAAGCACGCTTAGATTTGGAGGACATGAGAATACGTAAAGAGTTACACTTGAAGAGGCGTTCTAATGGGTCCTTTGAGAAGCCTCCCACATTGTACACATTGTTTGTGAAAGAGAGAGAAGGCTTTTGTGATTTCGTGAAAACAATTATGCAGCAAATATCTCAAATTGTGTGACCGCTCAAGCTGGAAAATTATCTAGCCTCAAAAGTCATGACAGTCATGTCCTTATACAACGACTTCTTCTAATTGGGATGCGTGGCTACCTTAATAAGGAAATTGGAATGGTACTTTTTGAGTTGGGAAATTTCTTCAAATAGTTGTGTTCAAAGACACTGAGGCGTTTAGATTTGGAGAAATTGGATGAACAAATCGTACTCATACTTTGTAAGCTTGAGATGATTTTCTTGTCGGCTTTTTTTGATGTCATGTTCCACTTGGCAATTCACTTGCCTCAAGAGGCTATGCTTGGAGGCCCAGTGCAATATCGATGGATATACCCAATTGAGAGGTATTAACTCAGCCCTCGTATTAGTGTCAAATTTTAATTAACGCTTTGTTGCTGATATAAAGATTGCAGTATAACATTGTCATCAGCTTGATTGTTAGGTTGCTTGGCCGTCTAAAAGGGTTTGTGGCCAACAAAGCTCATCCTAAAGGTTCTATTGCCGAGGCTTATATTTCCAAAGAATGTACAACATTTTATTCAATGTATTTGGATGGAGTTAAAACATTGTTTAACCACCCAGAAAGGAATTATGACATGGGTGACCGTGGCCCAGGGTTAGCGGTATTCACTCAAAATGTCCATTCCTTTGGTCTAATGACAAGGGTGTCCGATGTGTCCGTAGCTGAACACGAGATGGCTCATTGGTTTGTCCTACACAATAGCACAGAAGTGGAAAAACACGTAGAGTATGAACCCATCAAACGTATTTAGAATGTGTTTGTTGTAAATTGATCTTTATCTTAGTAAATATTTTTGAATCGCATTTCTTGTAACTAGGGAGCACAAGAACTTGTTACTACAAAGAGCCGGTGCATTCGACATTGAAAACAGACAACGAAAAGAATTCCCTAAATGGTTCAAAGATCATGTACGCTAGTATTCTCATATCCTACAATCAATCGTACATTATGTTAATATTGTGCATGCTTGTAACATGACACATGTTCTTCATGTAGATGAATGAATTACAGAGCCAAGTTTCCCCCAAAGCAACTGATGAGATGTGGTCATTAGCCAATGGTCCTAGTGGCTTAGTGAACACATATTCAGGATGTATTTGTAACGGTGTCCATTTTCATACTATCGACCGTGACAACCATCGTAAAAGTAAGAATAGTGGATTAGTCATGGAAGGGGAGCATGAAGGCCAATTGATACATTTATATGGACACTTGTGCAGAGTGTGGGAAATGAACTATTTGTTCAGACGTTGGATTGTATTGTTCCAATGTGAATGGTTTAATACCGGTAGTAGTAGAACTATGTGTGTAGAACCACATTTGACAACAATTGATGTAAGAAGTCGATGGTACAAAGATGACTCATTTGTATTACCAAGTCAAGTTGAATAGGTATTCTATGTTAATGACACCAAATTAGGTACTAATTAAAGAGTCGTAGAAAAGTTTCAACATCAAGGAATTTGGGATGTGCCAGAGATGGATGATGCACAACCCGATGATGTGTTCCAACAAGAAGAAACCACCGAGGTTGTACCAGCTATGACTATTGATGATGATATGGTTTTGCGTCGACATGATATTGAATCTGAAATTATTCCAATGGAAGTTTTACAATCTGTCAGAGGTGTAGAAGCCAAGGGTGTTACAGATGATGCCTTCACCTGTGATGATAAAGATGGATTAATGAGAGAGGGTGACGGCCCAGATGAAGAATATGACCTACAAAGTGATTTTGATACAGATGTTGATGTAGAATCTTGATGTATATCATGCTTTAGTTTATTCCATAATTAGAGCAATGTGAATGTTCAATTGGTGCACAAATGCAAATCAAACTCATTATAAAATGGGGGCTCTCTCTTTGTAAATGTCAATATGTCGTAGATATAAAACACTAGCTGTATTCGGTGTGTGGGGAGAATTAAATCTTTTAAAAACTGAGAGGATGATAAAGCATGTGAAATAAGACCAAATTTGCACTATCGAAAGTTACACCAGCAGAATTTTGCATACGTGATTGTAGATATATAGTGATCATGTTTTTTTTTAAAAAAAAAATAAAAATTGGTGCTCGTCAAACTTCTATTATGCTTCCGTTGCAATTATTGGAGTTTCCAAAATAAATTAGTTTATTGATTTGTAAACCACTTGTTTTTTTCTTAATTGGATAGTAAATTGAAATAAATTAACTTTATGGTACAATAAAAAAAACTGTTCTGGCTTTTGAACATATTGTTTAAGGGGCTTTTTTCTCAACCAAAATATATGGTCCCATAAACCCTAGCTTATTCTATAAAACTTCATCCGGCTAGATTATATGGAGTAGTCCCTTTCTTGTTTTTGTGTGAATTATTAATTTCCAGAATTGGATTGGATATAACAAAAAAGTTTCAAGTTGTGCATAAGTTGTCTAGTCTATTTGTAGGTTTCCTTTTATTCCTTTAGCATAATACACATGTCTTGCGTAATATTTTTTGTGTGAATAAAGTTTTTCTCCATTTTGGCTTTACAGTTTTCTTACGGTTGATTAAAAAAGACTGTGTGTAAACCAAAACCCTTAAAACAATTGAAAGGAAAAAAAAATGACATGTCTTCTGTGTTTGTCATGGAGAGATGCTTGTCTATAGCATTTTCTATTCTATGAGGCTTTTTCAGGAGTGATTTACATAAAAATGAATGACAGTTGAAGTTGTTGGAATAAGGTCATTTCAAATAAATGAGGGAGTTTTAAAAATATCATATCTGATAGAAACATCAGTAGTTACAATTATAGAGGTGTAGAAGCCAAGGGTGTTACAGATGATGCCTTCACATGTGATGATAAAGATGGATTAATGAGAGAGGGTGATGGCCCAGATGAAGAATATGACCTACAAATTGATTTTGATACAAATGTTGATGTAGAATCTTGATGTATATCATGCTTTAGTTTATTCCATAATTAGAGCAATGTGAATGTTCAATTGGTGCACAAATGCAAATCAAACTCATTATAAAATGGGGGCTCTCTCTTTGTAAATGTCAATATGTCGTAGATATAAAACACTAGCTGTATTCGGTGTGTGGGGAGAATTAAATCTTTTAAAAACTAAGAGGATGATAAAGCATATGAAATAAGACCAAATTTGCACTATCAAAAGTTACACCAGCAGAATTTTGCATACGTGATTGCAGATATATAGTGATCATGTTTTTTTTTAAAAAAAAAATAAAAATTGGTGCTCGTCAAACTTCTATTATGCTTCCGTTGCAATTATTGGAGTTTCCAAAATAAATTAGTTTATTGATTTGTAAACCACTTGTTTTTTTCTTAATTGGATAGTAAATTGAAATAAATTAACTTTATGGTACAATAAAAAAAACTGCTCTGGCTTTTGAACATATTGTTTAAAGGGCTTTTTTCTCAACCAAAATATATGGTCCCATAAACCCTAGCTTATTCTATAAAACTTCATCCGGCTAGATTATATGGAGTAGTCCCTTTCTTGTTTTTGTGTGAATTATTAATTTCCAGAATTGGATTGGATATAACAAAAAAGTTTCAAGTTGTGCATAAGTTGTCTAGTCTATTTGTAGGTTTCCTTTTATTCCTTTAGCATAATACACATGTCTTGCGTAATATTTTTTGTGTGAATAAAGTTTTTCTCCATTTTGGCTTTACAGTTTTCTTACGGTTGATTAAAAAAGACTGTGTGTAAACCAAAACCCTTAAAACAATTGAAAGGAAAAAAAAATGTCATGTCTTCTGTGTTTGTCATGGAGAGATGCTTGTCTCTAGCATTTTCTATTTTATGAGGCTTTTTCAGGAGTGATTTACATAAAAATGAATGACAGTTGAAGTTGTTGGAATAAGGTCATTTCAAATAAATGAGGGAGTTTTAAAAATATCATATCTGATAGAAACATCAGTAGTTACAATTATCTGTAAATTTAGATTTTGGTGGTAACCAATCTAAAAGGTGCATTTTCATCTTTAGCTTTCCTTAGATGAACCCAGTGGTTCTGTTGACTACAAGTTCAATATTTTCCATGTTTTATAATTCCATCAATAAAACATGGAAGAGAACTAGTTGAATGATTCTCATCCTCGTTTTGCCAAATCCTTAAACTTGATTTGGCAGCTATTGTTTGGTTAGACAATGCATATCCACTTTGGAAACCTAAAACAAAGCTATGGAGCCCACATTTTACAAAATGACTTTTTTGTCTGAAGAAAAATGTCCATGGTTTGTTTCCTAAATTAGAGTCAGTTTACTACTGGTTGCTTCTCATTTTCTTATGTTTTCGGAGTCAAGGTATTGTGGTAATTTCTAGTTTATTGGACTCGAACTCTAGAATTGGTCAACAACAGGGAATACTATTTCATCTAGTTATGTTCTTTTGGGTATTATCTGTGGTCAACAGTAAATCTAGGATATTTTGTTTTTACTAAAGAGTTGAAACTGTATTGGTTTCCTAAACTGAAGCCTTACTACTATTAAAATTAGGAGCAGCAGCCTATATATGTGCATATAATCTTCTTTGTCAGTGAAAGTTGAAGCTTGAGAATTCAGTATTGTATTAGTGAGCTTTTGCGTAGTACTTGCAAGTGTATGCATGTTTTTTTCCTCTTTTCTTCTCTTTCTTCTAGCATTTAGTCCTTGACAAAGTAGAATAGTGAAAAATGATTCTTGTTGCTGACCCCACTAGAGTGGGAGACAAAGCTTAGGTTAGTTTGGTTTGTTTTTCTTCTTTTTCTTGTTCTCCAAACAAGAATAACTTTGTTGTTCTAGGTGTTCACGGCCCAGGAATAGTCTCATTTTTAGCTTTGAAGCACCACTGATGTCAGCCTAAACAATTCCCAATCCTTTACCTACCCTTCGGCCTTTGAATTGACACCAAAATCCCATAAAATCATTGGTGTCCAGACCTTCCTGCACCACTTTTTCTAAAAATCCAGTAATTTGCCATGTTGGCAATCAATCAAAATCTTGCACCTGTTTGTCTACAATCGCTATAAACTTTCTTTTTCCCTAATTACTAGCTTTTCGCCACCCTAACCCTCCATAAAACCAATGGTAGGCAACTTGATTTTTACTTTCTAAAAGTTGTCCTACATTAAATTCCGATGTGTATCTGAATGAAATTCTTGACAAGTATTTGCATCATGGTATAACTACAGTTGAACATATGATTGGGTTCTATATGGTCTTACATGAATAATTATAATTATTTGTTGAAGAAAGATATGATGGTTCATGTTTAGGTGTTTGGGATGTAAAATCCAGCTTAGATATTAGAAATAGCCAATCAATAATTAATTATTTGTCTACAGGAATCCTTGTTGTGAACTCATTTTCCATCATTATTAGAGTCATTGCCATTTAGTTTACTTTTCTGAGTTAGGTTTCAGCTGATCACATTTCAGTCTTACTATACTTCAGAAGCTGGATACCTGGAGCTTCATTAAGAAGTTAGTAATATAGTAGCAGTATAAAAGGTTGTTTAGTTAGAAGCTAGGTAAGGAGGAACATATGCATATGCTATGGTTAATACTTGTCATAAATCTCAGTTGGTTTATACTTGGCATGAATCTTTGTTGTCAATAATGTGGGACAGTCATTTGACTTGGTGATCATATCAGTTGGAACTCTGTTGCCCACAATTTAAGGGTCAAGAACAACCTTTTCCTTCATAAGATTGTAAGAGTATTTTAAGAAAATTCAAGTCCACAATTATAGGTATATTCTATGTTATCTCTCTCTTCTTGTTCATTTGAATCATTTTTTTTCCCAATTGTTTTGTTTGAGAGAGTTGGTATATAAATAAATAAATAAATAAATAGGTAGGTATTAACCACTGCTAGATGAGAGCTTGGATTGCCTATATACTAATTTTCGACCTAATGACAAGCTAAGAAAGTTTGAATTTTATCATTGAAATATGAATTTAATGATTTTGTTTAATTGAGTATGATTTTAGGTGGCCTAGGACTGACAATGTTTTTCAGAAATTTTTTTTTTTTGAAAAAATGATTCATCATATTATCAGCTTTGCCATGAGATGATAATGGAAGTCTTATCCCCTGTATAATTGAAGGTTTAGATTTAACTTAATTAATATGTTATGGGGTTGAAATGCACTTGTTAAATATCGCTAAAATTGAGTTTAGGCAGTATGAGATTTTATGTCCTGAAATTCATATGTTCATTTGTTTTAATATATTCCAAATTATTAAATCATGTCTTGAGATTTAAGTGTCTCAAAATTTTCATTTAATTCAATAATTAAACATACATTAAGAAAAGAATAGAAAATACTTAGTAACATAATCTTTCATATCACATATGTTTTCTATTTTCTTTGTCTATACTTTCCATAATTTAGTAATAAGAAAGAAATCATCTAAGCAAACTATTGTCATGGCCAACAAAATTGTAATTTTTTTTTTTGAGTGGTGTCATGACCAACAATTGCAAGACATGATAGGTTTGTAAGTCGATCTTTAAAGTATCTCTCTTCATATAGAATAGAATATGATAGACCAGTAATACTACTCGCATAAAAACCGAACGTAGAAAATGATTGTGTGGTTCAAATTTAGTTTTAAAAGTAAGTCCCACTGAAAGTTTTCTATGACGAATTTTTATTTATTTTTATTGTTTTTGTTTAATTTAGTTCATGTATATCATGCTTTATAATGTAATTAAGAATGTATTAGTTGAGTTATTTCATGCTTTCTAATTTATTTTTGTCTAATTTATTTCATGTTTTTCATAATTTATAATGTATTTTATTTCATGTATATCATGCTTTATAGAGTTACTTGTATTATTGCAGTTTGAAAAATGGTTTCTGGCTTAAAGACTGGCCGGCTTCGGAAAAAGACACTCACGGGCACAATAACAGACTTGCTGGCTGCTATTCCTTTAGGATCAACGGTCACTCCATCTCCTGTTGTCCCCGTACGATCAAATGTGGGACCATCTCATCATGCCACTTGCCCACCATTGGTTGATTCTGATGAGACTTGTTTAATTTAGTTCATGTATATCATGCTTTATAATGTAATTAAGAATGTATTAGTTGAGTTATTTCATGCTTTCTAATTTATTTTTGTCTAATTTATTTCATGTTTTTCATAATTTATAATGTATTTTATTTCATGTATATCATGCTTTATAGAGTTACTTGTATTATTGCAGTTTGAAAAATGGTTTCTGGCTTAAAGACTGGCCGGCTTCGGAAAAAGACACTCACGGGCACAATAATAGACTTGCTGGCTGCTATTCCTTTAGGATCAACGGTCACTCCATCTCCTGTTGTCCCTGTACGATCAAATGTGGGACCATCTCATCATGCCACTTGCCCACCATTGGTTGATTCTGATGAGACACAAGCCCCATCCGAAACGCAGTCGAGTGGCGTATGTAAGATCAAAGCGTACCAAATTTGTCAATTATCACTTGCCATTATTTACAATTTTCGTATTGTTATTTTGTTAACAGGGACTTCGAAGTCCACACGTGTACGCAGACCAACACTTGGCAAAGGAATACAAAAAATAATTAGAGCCAAGAAAGGGGAAAAATGTTATGTTCACATTGATCGTGCGTTGAATGCAATGATTGGCAAGTATGCCACTCCAGCAACTAACGAGTTAGGAATTCAAATTAGGAGCTTGTGCCCCATGAAAGATGTCAAGTCATGGCTGGATCTTGATGAGACTACAAAATCTGTCGTCATCCAAGCTGTTCTTGTGATTGATATTACTTGTCCACAAGATGTAATTGTATTATGTATACTTATAAGAAAGAATTTTATTTAATGATTGTAATTTCCATTTGTTATGCTTGTAGGACAAGTTTGAAATTGGAGATGATTTCCACAATGACTTACAAGCACAACAGATTGTGAATAAGAAGGCATATAAGTTGTACAAAGATTGGAGGTACACCTTGAAGCAAGAATTTGAACTGTTAGAGGGACTTCCAAGTGATGAGATCTATGCTCATCCACCCCTAGGGTTGAGTTTAGATGATTGGAAGCATTTGATCGATGTGGCATGGCAAGATGCATCTCACCAGGTAAAATAATAGGCTAGTAAGAGTACATACATCTATGCCAAAATGTTATATGCCTTAATATTTACCAAAAATTTGTTTATCTGCTTGTCTTATTTTTAGAAACAGTCAAAAGTTGGCAAGAGTAATAGGAGTCAATTGTCGTACAATCATACCAATGGGTCTCGCTCATTTCCTATCGCAATGGCTGCTATGGTGAGATTGATTTTATTTAAAATTAAATCCATTACATGTTATTTGGATATGAAAATGATATGTTGTGATTTTTAGGTGCAATTTGGAGTCTATTAGTACTGTTATTAAACTATAAAGCAAAAAAAGAAGAGCTATATTTCCATTTCATGCTTTTTTTTCTCTTTCTAGTCAAGTAGTTGTATTATCACAAAAAATGAAACACATAATAGAGCTCATATACCAAAAAAAAAAAAAAAAAACTAAAAAAACTAAAAAACAGAACAACTTGCCCTTTGAAAAGGCATCTTATCCAGAGAAGAGAAGGCATCTCTCTCTTTCAGCACTCATAAATACAGCACACATCCAATGTGTGTTGATTGGAGAAAAAATAGGGATTTGTGCTCATTAAAATAACACTATGGACAAAATAACTGTTACGTTAAATGTATAAATATATAACATTCTCAGACATTTAAGTAAAATAGTTATGTTTTCAACACCACAGGTTGTTGCTGTCTGTAAAAACTCTGTCTACAAATCTGTCTGAAAAAAATAAGTATACATAATAATTATACAAATCTGTCTGAAAAAAATAAGTATACAAACTCTTTCTTCAAATCTGTCTACAGACTCTGTCTACAAACTCTGTTTTCAACAGCTACTGTCTGAAAAAAAAAACTGTCTGAAAAAAATCTATTAATGATACCATTGCCACTTGTGAAATTTGTCTAAACTAGAATATTGGTGCTCAATGGAAATCTGTCTGCAAAAATTCTCTTTGAATTCAAAATCTAGCTAAACTACAAATCTGTCTACAAAAAATATGCCTGCAAAAACTCTGTTTTTATACAAAACTGTCTGCAAAAATCTACTTAAAGTGTTGTTGATTTATACGTTGATGTGTTAACAAGTAGCAAAAACTAGAGAGTTAGATTTTCCTAAGTTCTATGAGGACAGCCACATTTTCAAGAAAACGAATGACTGGATCCATCCGAAATGCGGTGAGCTGCATGTAAGTATGTAACAATGAAATAATTGTATTCAATATGACTTTACTTAGTACCCAATAATACACATATGTTAGTTATCTTTTTTTGTCTTATTTATTTGCAATGACAGCAAGAGATGGTCAATGTACAAGAGGCTGCCATCGAGTCGGGGACGCCATTGACACAGGAGGAGCTTTCAAGGCAAGTGCTTGGACAGAAGAAAAGGTGCTTGCTTAGATTTGGGAGTGCCTACAACCCTCTACCATAGCTGCATCACGAGCACACGATAAGGACATGGAGGCAATGCGAGCTGAGGTGGAGGCATTTCGTGAGGAGCAACAAAAAGATCGTGATGAGTTAATGAAAGAGAGAGAGGAGCGCATTCAATTAGCCAATGAGATGTTGAAAGACCGGGAGGAGGGACAAAAAGCAAGGGAGGAGGGACAAAAAACAAGGGAGGAGACAAATATAAAGGTCAAGCATCTTAATAATGTAGTTGCCAAACTGTCACAACTCTTGGGAATCTAAGTTGGGTATCCGACGTTTGCTTTTTGGTAAGAACAATTTCATTAATGTCACACTTACTTTGTTTAAATATGTTCGCTTTAAGAGTTAAAAATTGTCTTTAATTTGGGAGTCAGTCTGCCTCACAAATTCAATGGAAGTTGTTTATATATGTTCGCTTTATCTTTTTTTTTTTTTTTTTAAGTTTCTGGCCTGATTCTTTATACTCATTCCTAGATTTCTATTGGCTAACAACATTCCTAGTTTGTAGAATGTTGCCTCCTTTTTTGGTGCAAAGTTTAGTCTTGTTAGAGGCCACTGTCAATGAATACGAAACAGACACTATGAGAACTACTTTTAGTTAAGGTAGATTATGAGGGAAAAAATAAGACCTATCATTAGGGCTGACTCAAATATGCACTAAAATGCGAATGCCACACAGTATATGAAGTTAGCACATATATAAGGCTTTGATTTACATTGTATCATTACCACCCAAGACCCTCATTCCTTGAACTCTTACCTAGCAAAAAGAATACTTCAAATGAGAAGTTATAAAGGAAGAGCACTGTTAAGTGACAATTAGGAGACATTTAAGATGCCTTGACAATTTATTAAACACTCTACTAACCAAGTTTAAATTTTCATTAAACTCTCTACTAGCTAGAAGTTTAAAGCTTATTTATGAGTTTTTATAAATTAATAAAAACTCAAATCTCATAAACTACCAAATGTTATGGCACGTTCTCTAACAATGAGAGATATAAGTGAGCAATCAGATCAGTGCACCACTGGATGTTACACGAAGGCACAAAATCTATATATTGAAAAATTCCTGCATAATATTATCACATTTCTACATTATGTATGATTGAAGGCACAAAATCTATATATTTCAAATTACTGTGTAATATTATCACATTTCCACATTATGTATGATTGAAGGCACAAAATCTATATATTTCAAAGAACTATGTGATATTATCACATTTCAACATTATGTAATGATTGAGTTAATATTCAAAATACCACTATTGAAAACAACATGCTACTTTAAACGTTTGAAATATATAGATTTTGTGCCTTCAATCATACATAATGTAGAAATGTGATAATATTATGCAGGAATTTTTCAATATATAGATTTTGTGCCTTCGTGTAACATCCAGTGGTGCACTGATCTGATTGCTCACTTATATCTCTCATTGTTAGAGAACGTGCCATAACATTTGGTAGTTTATGAGATTTGAGTTTTTATTAATTTATACATTTGTCAATTGACATCTAATCATGTTCAAAATTTTGACTCAAATGCTCAAGGCAATCTGAAAATAATACATGATGCTTTCAAAATCGTGATTGGCTTTGTCTTATGGTTGGCATGTTTTTTTGGTTCCTTCGAGTGTCGAGAAATAGTAGGTGTCTTTGTCTTGGTGTACTTGGGCTACCAAGGGGCTGCAAGCAGTGGCAGCGGTGGATTTGATCTAATAGCTTCGTTTGTTCTATTTGTTTAATCTTGTCCATCGAATTTGTGAGGCAGACTAACTCCCAAGGATAGGGACCACATCCAAGATTAGCAAAATTATGTTGAAAATGCCATAAAAGTAGTCGAATAAAGGGGTTCGGGGGGTGAAAATGAAAAACAGCACCCGAACCACTGTTTTTACGTAACAGGAACCTTCCCAGTGACAAATGTGACACGTTGGGACAGACTGTACATAAATAGGACACCTACGTTGGGAGTTAGAGTTGAAAATGTCATAGTATATTAGTTGAAAAAAGGCGTTCGGGGTGAAAATACAAAACAACCCCCGAACCACTGTTTTAACTTAATGGGAGGCTTTTCCGCGACAAATGTGGCATGCAGGGACAGACGGTTTGTAAATAGGGCACCTACGTTGGGAGTTAGAGTTGAAAATGTCATTTATTTTAGTCGAAAAAAGGGGTTCGGGGGGCGAAAATGCAAAACAGGCCCTGAACCACTATTTTAACATAACAGGAAGCTTCCCGGTGGCAAATATGACATGTAAGGACAGACGGTACATAAATAGGACACCTACGTTGGGAGTTAGAGTTGAAAATGTCATTGTATATTCGTTAGAAAAAGGCATTCGGGGGGCGAAAATGAAAAACAGCCTTCGAACCACTGTTTTAACATAATGGGAAGTTCCCGGTGACAAATGTGACATGTAGGGACAGACGGTACGTAAATAGGACACCTATGTTGGGAGTTATAGTTGAAAATGTCATAAATTTAGTTAAAAAAAG